GCAGGCCGAGAACTTCTCCACCGTGTAAGTGCCTAGCCCCAGAGGGCGTGTCGGGAGAACCTCTTCGAAGGACTCCGATAATAGCCAAGGAAAACCAGAGACCCAGAACATGCGGGGGACAGAAGAGACCCACAGTGCCCCCCTCTGCTGAGTTAGAGAGAGCAGGAGAACGGGGTGTCCATGCCTGTGCAAGAACACTGAATGAGGAGCCTCTGCCTGGAGGAAGAGAGCAGGATCCCCCGAGAACTCGGGAAGAACTTCAGCTGCCAGCCACCCCTCCCCACCACAAAATTCTCTCCCAGGGCATTTCTCAGTTCAAACCCAGGAGTCCTGAGCTTGGTTTAAGCCAACATGCCTATCTGACTCCTTCACCTCCAGATACCCTATTCCCTGAATTCTCCTGTAACCCCAGCCTCCAAGCCCAAACAGCCCCCCATCCGTCCGATACTCCAGAATATACCACGCCCCGAATATGCAGGCCCAAGTTCTTCCGCTCTCCTGCTGATAGATCCTGCTGTTCTCGTTCCCAGCACGGTGAGGAGCCTCGGGTTCTTCACAGGGAGCCAGGTGCTTCACATGAGACCCGGGAAGCTACAGATGCTGTGTCCACAGGAGGCCCCACGGGTCCTGGTGCAGTTAGAAGCCGTCAGAAGGATGCTGGGGGTGAGGACACCCTGGGCCCCTGACCCGCACAGGAAATGCTGGATGCTCCCCGGGGTGGGAGGGAGAATGCCAGGTGGACAAGCCCGCAGGCTTCCATTCCATTCCATTCCAGTCCAGTCCTGGGCTAGAACGGGGTGCGACAGGTACTGGGCACAGGATATTCCCCCCCAGAGGCTTGACTTCACGTGCTCAGGCATGCAAGCTCAGGCATGCCGTGAGCCTCCAAGCCGACTGTCGACATGACCCGCCTCACCTCAATCCTTTTCTTTCCTCAGATGAGTCATTAGGCACCAACCCAGACACTTCGGAGATCAAGACCCTCCCACAACAAGCAAGATGGCAGATCTGATACTCCTTGGAGCCCTGAAAAATCCGCTCTCGGGTCCCCAGTTTGCAGCGAACCCCACACCCCAGCACAGCAAAGAGGATGAGGAAGCCCAGAGGTTGAGACCAACGGTGCCCCTTCTCGCTGTGTTGGGAGCCCTCCCCAGTTATCACCTATTTATTGTATCTCTTTCCTAAGCCTGGAGCACTTAATCTGTCAGGACTCCGTTCAGTCCCTCTCCTCCCCAATAAAAGCAGCTTTGAGCTTGGTCTGTGCCTCCCCGCAGCTTCCGCTGGGCCTGATGGGGCCCAAAGGCAGGGAGGCAGGAAGAGGTGGGACTCCGGGCCTGAAAATGGCAGCCGCCCCCCGCCCATCACTGGGCCAGGCTGTTGGAAGGTGAGTGGGGACTCCCACCGCAAGCCCGGAGCTGAGAGAATTTGAGCAGAAGCTCTCCTTACTCTCTTTCTAAACAAACTCCAAAATAAGGCTCTGCCCACCATCTTTCTCCTTCTCTGTACCCTTCTCCCAGTACGCCCAAGGCACCCAGGACAGCTGAGGTACAACGCTTCCTGGGAGGAAAGGGTCCTCAGGCTGACAGTGGCTGGTGTGGATCACCCTGGCTGAGGAGCCAGAGAAGCACTAACAAACACGTCAGCTGCTCCAGGCTCCACTTGGCAACTTCCTCTTTTAAAACGACTGTGGTCCCCTCCTCCTGTTGGGTGAGCCAACCCTGAGCTCCCCAAACCGCCCCCCTCCCGGCTTATCTCTTTAGTGGTGGAGCATAGGGAACACTGGACTGCAAGTCGCAAGTCTACCAATCGGCTGTTTGACCTGTTGTAAAGTCACTTCACATTCTGGGTGCCTATTTTCTCAAAGGTTAAGTGAAGAGTTTGGACTGTTTGTGGCTTCTAATATCTAATATACATAGCCTTTTTAAGTCTCATAACTGTCATGGACTCTCCTCCCTACAGAACAGAGGTTATTCTTTTATTGCTTTTGGCTACAGAGAAGGCTTGATGTGTCTGTGATCAATGGTCCTGGAGGGTTCTTAAGATGTTCCCCTAAGTCTCTCTTTTGTCTGGGCCCCAGAGTACCCTATTTTTGGACTGCCTGTGCCTGGCCTCCGAAAATCACCTCTCTTAGCTGGTCACACTGAATAGGAAAGCCAAAACTTTCCTTCACAAAAGAGAAAAAAAGGCGAGACTCTTAGAGTCTGACCCTCAAGGGCCGAAGTTAATTTCTTGGGATGGGGAGACGAGATATTAACCCATCACCCTTTGGGGTTTCATAGAGCTGAAGGAGTCCTAGACACAGGGAAAGACTTCAGGACCAGAAACAAAACAAAAACAAAAAACCCAAGTGGTTTAGCACAGGGCTCCCCAGATTGCCCAGCAAAGACTGAGACGAGGTAAGGGGCTGCCAGGGCACCCAAAGCTCACTGGACCTGGCACAAGTGATGCTATTAGACAGACCTAGGTTTGAATCCCAGGCCACCCCTGGAAACTGAAGCTTAGAAAGGCGACTGCACCTCTCCAGGCATTGCTCATCTTCATCCAATGGGCACAAAACCTATTTCACAAAACTGTTGCGAAGCTTGAATTGGAATAAGTTAGCCAACCTATATGAAATATTTAGATTCTTGCCTGACATATCATAGGTGTTCAAAACATATTCATCTTGTGGGGCGCCTGGGTGGCTCAGTCGGTTAAGTGTCTGCCTTTGGCCCAGGTCATGATCCCAGGGTCCTGGGATGGAGCCTGGGGCTCCCTGCTCAGTGGGGAGTCTCCTTCTCCCTCTCCTTCTGCCCCTCCCCCTGCTCGTGCTCTCTCTCTCTCCTTCTCTCTCTCAAATAAAAATCTTTTTTTTTTAAAGATTTATTTATTTATTTGAGAGAGAGAGAGAATGAGAGAGAGCACATGAGAGGGGGGAGGGGCAGAGGGAGAAGCAGACTCCCTGCCGAGCAGGGAGCCCGATGCGGGACTCGATCCCGGGACTCCAGGATCATGACCT